ATGTTCATTGTTTCTATGATACTATCTATCTATCTATTATATATATCCATATGTGTGTGTATGTACACTAATGGTACAGACAGTAAATTAGATTGTAAACTGACGCAACAAAACAAATTCACATTGGAGAAAGGAAACTTCTACAGAGCATGAGGAAGGGGTGGCAAGATATGTATAACTTGTACTTATGTTTATAAAGGAAGGTTTTGTAGGGAAGATGGAAATTGATTGAACTGAACCTTGAAGTACTAATATAAGGTCAACAGGAAGAGATAAAGAGGGGTAATACAGGCAAAGTATTACAAGCCAAGAGAATATCAGAACAAAGGCATAGAAGATGGAATGAGAAATTTAAGCAAGATGTTTGTCCGGAACATAGTGTTTGCACAAAAGAATACATAGAAAGGAGGCTGGGGCCAGGCTAAGGGGAACCTTGGATACCATGCTAAGAAGTTCATGGACAGAATGCTAGACTTGGAGCCAGGAAGATCTGAGTTCCAGTCCTGCCTGAGACATTTAGCAGCTGTGTGGTCCTCAGCTTTACCTCTCTGAGTCTCAATTTCTTCATCTGTAAAAATGGGCATAATAATATCACCCACCTCATAGGTTGTTGTGAAGATAAAGTGAAACAATATATGTGAAGCACTTTGCAAATTTTAAAGTGTTATATAAGTGCTGTTATTATTCCATAGGCAATGGGTGGGTAATGAAGAATTTTGAGTAGGGACATAATCAAAATGGCACTTTGAGGAGATCAAGTAGCTGAACTGATTGGAGAAGGAGCGAAAGAGAAGGATTCCACTTAAAAACTACTGTAATGGTTTAGGTATGATATAATTACGGGATGGGCTAGGATGGTGGCAATGGAAAGGGAAAGTAAAAGACAAAAGCTAGAGATTTTGTGAAGAACAAATGCCACATCCTCATTGTCTCTTGCCTAGAATACTGTAACAGTCTACTGACTAACCTCCTTACCTCTCCTCTTCCCTTTCCAATCTGTACTTGACACTGCTACCACAGCGGTACCACTCAGCCTGAGGACTGAGTCTGAAAGGCTTGACATCAGGTGGAGATTGGAGGTAGCATTTATGCCCTTAGATAAAGAAGCCAGTCAACATGGCCAAAAGCCAAGAGGAAGTCTTGTCAATTAAGAGTAGGATGCAGCCTTAGCCTCCCAAGCCAATCAATGCCTAGAGACAGTCCCCTGGATTTTTAGGGAAAGAACTTGTTTAATCCATGTGGGGCCAAGGAGATGGTACAGTAGATACTGATTCTTTCACACCACTTAATGGTACATATTGTAATCCATCTACCCAATGTTCACCTTTAAGCAATGATTAGGCTTTGGAAAAAGACTTTTGTGGAAGGAGTGTTTCCACTCCTTTGAATTAAAATGGGGTTTGGGTTTGACAAAGGTAAGCTAGACTGCTAACTCCACTGAGGGCAAGGACTTCAGTTATTAAGTTCTTGGCACGGTGCTCTGTACACATTAGACCCTTACATCTTCATTGACTGAAGAATGACAAGATGAGAACTAATTAATCTCTTTCCTGAAAAATTAATTAATCTCTCTCTCTAGTCCCACATTACCCACTTCTAGGAGATAGTAAATGACTTTCCCAGGGTCATACAGTTAGTGTCTGAGATTTGAACTCAGCTCTTCTTGATTCCAAGTCCATCAGAAAATCCACTGCATCACTTAGCTTATCCATTACTGTTGAGGGTAACCAACTATCCTCACAGTCATGTGGGCTCACAACTTTTCTGTCAACCTCAATTCCTCACTCTCATTTACCCAATATAAAAATCTCATATAATTTTTATCCCCATAGCTCTCATCACCTCTCACTTAGGCTATTATTGTAAGCTTCTTGTTGGTCTTCCTACCTCATCCATCCTCACTCCATTCCATTCTATGCTCAGATGTCAAAGTGATTTTCTTAAAGCCCAGGTCTGTCCATATCACCCCTTTCTTCCCCCTCCCTCCAAACTTCTGTTGCTTATTAGGACCTCCAAGATAAATTATAACATGTGCTGTTTGGCATATATAAGTCTTACAACTAGGCCCCTTCCTACCTGTCCAGTATTCTTACATTTTACTCTCTTTTATATGCTCTTTAATCTAGTGACATTGTTCTTCCTGCTGTTCAATGAACAGGATACTTATGGTATCTCCAAATTCCAAGACTATTCAATGACTATTCCCCATTCCTGGAATGCTCTCTTTCCTCTCATAGTTTCTTTCAAGTCTCAGCTGAGATACCACCTTCTTCAGGTATAATACCTTGCCCTCCTCCTCCCTCTCTCCTTCCCCACCCAGTCTTTTCCCTCTAACATTATCTTCCATTTATACTGCATATATCTTATTTGTACATAGTTATTTGCATATTAGAGCATCTAGGTTGCACAATGGATAGATCACTGGGCCTAGACTTAAGAAGACTCTTCTTCATGAGTTCAAATCCAGCCTTAGACATTTAGTAGCTGTGTGACTCTGAGCAAGTCACTTAATCCTGCTTGCCTCAGCTTCCTCATCTGTAAAAAGAGCTGGAGAAGGAAATGGCAAACCACTCCAGTATTGATAACAGCTGGCCTTGAGCACTGAGAGGTTATATGACTTGCCAGGGTCACTAAGGCCAATATGTGTCAGTGGTAAGACTTAATAACAACAGCTAACATGTATATAGTGCTTACATGCATATACAAAGTGACCTGATGGATAGAGCCCTGGACTTTGAGTAAGGAAGCTCTGAGTTAAAAATCTTCTCAGTCACTGACTGTGTTGACCCTGGGCAAGTTACTTAACCTATCTGCCTCAGTTTCCCTAACTGTAAACTGGGGATAACAGCATCTACCTCACAAAGCTTATTGTGAGGATCAGATGAAATATTTGTAAAAGTATGTCTGGCACATAGCAGGCACTTGATAAATCCTTATTTCCTTCCCTCAATAAAACTCTTAACATTTTTTTTATTTTTTATTAATTTATTTTGATTTATCAATAACCACTTCCATATGCTTTTGAGTTTAAAATTTTTCTCCCCCTTCCTCCCCACCACCCTCTCCAAGACGGCACACAATCTGATATAGGCTATACATTTACATTCATATTAAACATATTTTCACATTAGTGATGTTGTAAGTAGAAATTAAAACCAATAGGAGGAACCATCAGAAAGAGGAAACAAAACTCAACAGAAGAGAAAAAAAAAAATAACAATTCAGCTTCCATAGTTCTTTCTTTGTGTGTGGATAGCATTTTCCACTACAAGGCCTCCGGAGATGTCTTAGATCCTTGTATTGCCAGGAAGGGTTAAGTTTATCAATATCAGTCCTCACACAACGTGGCTGTTATTGTGTACAACGTTCTCCCGGTTCTGCTCACTTCACTCAGCATCAAACCATACAAGTCTTTCCAGGTTTTTCTGAAGTCAGCCTGTTCATCATTTCTTATAGCACAATAGTATTCCATTACATTCATATACCACGACTTGTTCAGCCATTTCCCAATTGATGGGCATCCTCTCAATTTCCAATTCTTTGCCACCACAAAAAGAGCTGCTATGAATATTTTTGTACATGTAGGTCCTTTTCCCATTTGTGTGATCTTTTTGGGATATAGCCCTAGAAGTGCTATTGCTGGGTCAAAGAGTATGCACATTTTCATAGCCCTTTGGGCATAGTTTCAAATTGCTCTCCAAAATGGTTGGATCATTTCACAACTCCACCAACAATGCATTAGTGTTCCAATTTTCCCACATCTTCTCCAACATTTATCATTTTCCTGTTTTGTCATGTTGGCCATTCTGATAGGTGTGATGTGGTACCTCAGACTTGTTTTGATTTGCATTTCTCTAATCAATACTGATTTAGAGCATTTTTTCACGTGACTATAGATAGCTTTAATCTCTTCATCTGAGAACTGTCCATATCCTTTGACCACTTATCAAGTGGACAATGGCTTGTATTCTTATAAATTTGACTTAATTTTCTATATATTTTAGAAATGAGGCCCTTATCAGAGAGACTGGTTGTAAAAATTCTTTCCCAATTTTCTACCTTCCTTCTAATCTTAGTCGCATTGGCTTTATTTGTACAAAATCTTTTCAATTTAATGTAATCAAAATTATCTATTTTGCTTTTTGTAATGTTCTCTATCTCCTGTTTGGTCATGAATTCTTCTGTTCTCCATAGTTCTGACAGGTTAACTATTCCTTACTCTCTCAGTTTGCTTATAGTATCAGCCTTTATATCTAAATCATGTACCAATTTTGACTTTATTTTGGTATATGGTGTGAGATTTTGGTCTATGCCTAGTTTCTGCCACACTCTTTTCCAGTTTTCCCAGCAGTTTTTTTCAAAGAGTGGGTTCTTATCCCAGAAGCTGGGGTCTTTGGGTTTATCAAATAAAAGATTACTACAGTTATTGACTACTGTGTCTTGCATTCTTAACATTTTTTATAACCCTGACAAACCCTCAATTTCACAAGTGCACAATTCTCTTAATCCGCGTCCTGACTGCTGTTTTCCAATTTTTTTTTTCACTTTTGTATAGAAACCTGATGTGAGGAATACAATTTGTGATTCTTCCAAAACTTTGAAACTTTGAAAAAAAACCTAATTTGGATTTATTACAGTTTGTTACATGCGGGTGCATGCATATATGCATTATATATGTGCGTGTGTGCACGCATGCACACACACACATACTTGGTCAGATAAGGAAGCTGGCCTTCCACGGGATCCTGAGGAGGGGTGCTTCTCTTAAAACACCTCCACCCGTCCGCCGGCCGACACTGGGATTGGGATGCCCCAGAGCCCGCTCCACCCGCCGCACTTTACGACGGACCCCAGCAGTCGCGTTCACCGGCAGGGCCGTAAAGCAGGCGGCGCCCGGGATTCCGCGGCAGGTTGCCCAGCAACGGCCTAAAGCCCGGGAAGTCTCCCTCCCTGGCTGCAGGCGCGCGCTCCCGCCGCGGCACCAGTTGAGCGGGGCGCCCATGGAGGGGGAGGGGGAGGAGGACGGGGCGGCGGGAGCTGGGGGAGCCGGGGGAGCCGGGGGCGGCGGCCCCGGGGAGCTCTGCCTAATGGACAAGGCCATCTGCAGGTAAGGACGCGCCAGCCGGCCCCGGGGCCCGCCTCGGGGGCCTCCGAGAGCAGCGTCCGCCCCGCTGGCCGCTCAGCTGCATCCAGATTGCGGATGGGCCAAGCATCAATCTGTCAATCAAGAAGCAAGTATTAAGCGCTGACTGTATGCCAGGAGCTAGGTAATAGTAGACAGCATTCATAGAGTGCCGAAAAGGTATTACAGTTATAAGATACCAGCTTATCTTACAATAAGATAGTAAGTATCTTATTATCATAACATACTAATGGCTGCTAGGTGGCCCTGGGGATAGAAACCTAGCCTCATATTCCTTAGGTAGGTACTACCTATGTGACTCTGGGCAAGACATTTAACCTCAGTCTCAGTTTTCTCATCTGTAGCATGGGGGTCATTATAGCTCAAATGAGGCAGTGTTTACTGCACTATGTAAACCTTGAAGCGATATATAAGTCCTGGCTATTGTTATGATCCTTACAAACAGCCCTTCGAGGTAGCAGCTATTGTGAGCCCCATTTTTATAGGTGAGGAAACTAAGGTTGCAAGAGGTCAAGAGAAGTGCCCAGGGTCACACAACTAGGAAGCAAGGCTCCAACCTCCAGTCTTTCTGACTGCCAGGTCAGCATTCAATTCGAGCAACCTAGCTGTAAACATTCAAGTGCTATATACGATTCACTAATCCAATTCATAGCTTGGTAGACCTGAGATTCAACTTGGAGATCATGTAGTCTCCTTTTATAAAGGAGGAAAAGGAAGCACATTGAGAATTAAGTAGCTTGCTGTAGTGGACAGATTGTTGGCCTTGGAATCAGGAAGACCTGCGTTCAAGTCCCTCCTTTTGATACTGACTAGCACTTAATTACCATTGGAAAATTCTTTAACTCTCCAAAACTCATTTCCTCATCTGTAAAATAGGGATGATAGTAAAAGTAGTGGTGAAAGTAGTAAAAATAATGATAATGTATGTAAAGGGCTTTGCAGGCTTTGAATTGCCATATAATTGTCAGTGATTATTTTTTTGTCCAAATCTATGATTTCATTGGTGTACGGAATTCATCATGGGGAAATTCTCTTTACCTGGGCAGGTTGGGATCTTCTCAGTGGTACAGTGGAGTCAGGAAGACCTACTTTCTTATTTCTTCTCAGACACTTATCCTGGGCAAATTACTTACCTTCTGGTTCCTTCATCTGTAAAATAGAGGTGATAATTATAGCACTACTTTCCAGAGTTCTTTTAAGGATCAAATAATAATAGTTGTAAAGCACTTTGTAAAACCTTAAAAAGCTAAATTACTTATCCAGGGACAAACATCCAGTATGTATTGGGGAGTAGGGAGGGTTTGAATCTTATTATTATTATCCAGATTCACACAGAAAATTTGTGGCAGAGATAGCTGAATCCATGTCTTCTGATTTCTCATCGTCCTTGCTTTTTTCCACTGCAGCATGATGCTAAGCTCAGCTTAGGGATAGTAACTAGCTATAAACAGACTCCCTCTACCAATTCAAGCTGGCACCTTCTCCATAACTTATAGTCTTAGCTGTCTAGACTCAAGAGCAATAAAAAGTTAAGTGACTTGTCCAGGGTCACACAGCCAGTTTGTGTCAGAGGTGGGTATGAAGCCAACCCTCTATATTACCTCAGGCTGATTCTGCATGTTGGGGATATGAAGACAAAATTTTGAAAAAATGTACTTTGCCCTCAGCGAGTTTACAGAGACACATATTCAGACTTGGGGGTAAGGGAAGTGAGGGGTTATTTCTAATTGAGATGCAGGAGTGGTGTAGGAAAACTTCATGGAGAAGGTATTTCTTGAGGGGGGCCTTGAAGGAATACACTTTCAACAGGTAAAGATGTGAAGGGAAGGAAGTTCCTTACGAAGAGTAGGCACTGGATAAAATATTTGTTAAATTGAAGCATTGAGGGAGTTAGTAGCATGGAGGGGATAGGAGGGCTGCCCCACACATAATTAGCTGGGAGTGTAGTTTGAATGGATTAAAGTTTCTTTTCCCTTATATTCTTATGACAAAAACAAAAATCATGTAGAAATTTTATGCAGCAGGCTAATCCAGGAAGGGTTAATTCTGGTCAGGACACATTCAGCTTGGTCTGCTCCTGCCCTCATACTAGGGGACTTCAACAAATATGTTGATACTCACCCAAACATCATAACTTCTCAGTTCATCATATTACTTATTTGCCATGACCTACTCCTCCACCCTACCTCCGCTACACTCAGAGATGTTCATATCCTTGATCTTGCCATCACCCTGGAGTGTTTATGTTCCTGAAGGCTGTTGTTCCTTTGTCTGATCATTATCTTTTATCATTCCATCTTTCCCTGTGCCCCCAAACTCATAGCCCTGTTCTTCAGCTTCAACATGACCTCTAGTCCCTCCATTTTTTACTTCTTTTCCAGTCCATCACCCCTATACTGGCTATCTTCTCTTAAGCCTTTGATGAATCAGTTGACTCTACAGTCATTCAGTCTTTTTTTTTTTAAGTATATGTCTGACTCTTCATGACCCAATTTGGGGTTTTCTTGGCAAAGATACTAGAGTGGTTTGCCATTTCCTTCTCCAGTTCATTTTACAGATGAGGAAATTGAGGCAAACAGGGTTAAGTGACTTGTCCAGGGTCATGCATCTGGGGTCTGAGGACAGATTTGAATTCAGGTCCTATTGAATTGATGTGAAAGAGTTAGAAAGGAAGAGGTGTGCTCTTTGAGGGAACAAGGGAAGGGGACAGTGACTACTATGTGTCAGGCACATAGTTCTGAGTTCTTTACAAATATCTCTGGCACTCAGGGATACAGTTTCATAGGGATTTTGAAAATAATCATTGAACAAGTATGAGGCATCTGCTATGTGCCACACACCATGCTAGTTACTGGAGATACAAACAAGCTTACATTCTAATGGATAAAACAGGTACATATATAAATATATACAGAATAAATCTAAAGAGAGTAAATACAAAGTAGTTAAATACAAGGTAGTTTAGGAGGGGAGAGACATGAGGACAGGGTCTGTTATACAACTAAATATATGGTCAGGACATGGATAGTCCGGAAATGGAAAAGAATTGATCAGACAGATAAAAAAAGAATTGTTACAGAGCCAGTATCATGACAAACTAAGGTTGTGAACTTGTATGACTGGAAGACAGAAATAGAGATGTTAGGACCTGTGGTACAGGTTTAGAGAGGAAGATGAATTCCGTTTTTGACGAGCTGTTTGATCTACCCATGGAATATTCCAGTGGACATGCCTGGAAAATAGTTAAGAGATGTTGGACTAGAGCTTAGAAGAGAGATGGAAGCTTGAAATCTAGACCTGAGAGTCAGTGGAATAGAGATGGTAGTTGAATCTATGGTACCTGATGAGATCACTTAAAATATATATAGAGAGAAGAGAGAAAGCCCAGGACAGGGCCTGTTATACAACTAAATATATGGTCAGGACATGGATAGTCCGGAAATGGAAAAGAATTGGTCAGACAGATAAGAAAAGAATTGTTACAGAGCAGTATCATGACAAACTAGGGAGGAAAGAGTGCTTGGAAGGAGGGGCTAGTCAGCAGTGTCAGATGCTACAGAGAGGTTAAGAAAGATGAGAATTAAGGAAAAGGTTATTAGATTTTTTTTTCAATAAAGAAATCATTGGTGACCTTGGAGAGAGCAATTTCAGCCAAGTGATGGGGAAGGAAGCCAGATTGAAAGAAGTTGAGAAGTGAGTGGGAGGTGAGAAAGTAGAACAAGTATGAACAGGTGTTAAGTTTGAAAATTAAGGTAAATTGAGGCAATAAAGTTGTGAGCACGTTCATTTTATTGATGAGACTACTAGTCAACAACAAAATGGGTCTTGGACTCTTCAGCAAGCCAAGACCACGAGGTGGGCTAACTAACCTTAATATGGTTTTGTGAAGTATAGGAGAACAGAGAATAGGCGGCATCACAGATGGAAAACAATATGATTGGTTACAAAGTCTGAAGTATCATAGGTAGCAGTAACAATATGATTGGCTGGATATTTGGGGGTAACAAATTCCATCCCGCTGCCCAGAAAGGTTGATTGAGAAGAGTCCTTAGTTGAACAGAGATAACAGCCTTCTTGGCAGCCACCTGCATTCTATAAGGCTGGTTAGTAGGATAACAGATCTCCCCCTAATTGTACATGGGTGTGCAAGGCTGTATAGAGATAACATTTTTCTTTCAATTAAACTGATTTTTAGGCAAACAACTTTTAAATTTAATTCATAAAGGAAAACAACTTCTGGACTCATGAACTCCTGAACTTAACTCAGAGACAGAAACATGGCTCAGGCAGTTAGAGAATAGAATTACAGAATGTAATCAAATAGAAAATCAAAAGTTAATATTTTATTTTCTCACTTTTTTCTGTTATCTGCCCCTTTTTTATTACTGAAACTTAAATATACAATAAGAAAAGAAAATAAAACATATTATAAACTTAAACATTGAAACTTAAATACAAAATAAGAAAAGAAAAAAGCATGTCATGTACACAGGAGAACATGAGAGGATTCAAAATATATAACAATAAATTTCCATTTCAAGAAAGCCTATGTGATAAATACTATGCATTGTGTTGAGAACTGTCCATCTTTTCTTTGCTTCCTTGTTAGGTTTTTTTTGTTTGTTTTGTTTTGTTTTGTTTTTTTGGTTAGGCAGTGGAGTTAAGTGACTTGCCCAGAATCACACAGCTAGTAAGTGTGAGGTGTCCAAGGCTGGGCTCAGGTCCTCCTGACTCCAGGGCTGGTGCTTTATCCACTGTGCCCCCTAGCAGCCACCGTTAGTTTTCTTTTGTTCTCTGCTGTACACTTTTTACTTTGTTCTTTTATCCCCCCATCCCAAGAAGGCTACAATTAAGCACTGGTATATTTATACATATATAGATATTTAGATATACATATACATATATACACATACATACATACATACATATATAGACATATACTTTCCCTAATAAATTCTACTTCTTTCTTTTCATTCACATGGTCACCATTCTAGTCCAGGCCTTCATCCTCTCTCTTGGACTATTTCAGTCCAGTTTCTCTCCCATCCATTCTCTGCTCTCACATTCTCCTCCCTCCACCCACAACTCTTCCTTGTCACAAAAAATTCAGTGAAATAAAAAAAGCATGTCATGTATACAGGAGAACATGAGAGGATTCAAAATATATAACAAATTTCCATTTCAAGAAAGCCTATGTGATAAATACTATGCATTGTGTTCAGAGCTGTCCATCTTTTCTTTGCTTCCTTGTTAGTTTTTTTGTTTGTTTTGTTTTGGTTTGGTTTTTTGGCTGTCAAATTGATATTCCTAAAGTAGAAGTCTAACCATATCATTCTACTGCTCAGGAAGCTTCAATGACTCCTTGTGTACTCAGTTTGGCATTTATTTAAGCCCTTCACAGAAATTTGACTCAAACCCATCTTTCCAGAGTGCTTTCTTGTTATTCCCCCTCACATAACTCCAACTGAACTGACTTACTTGCTCTTCCTTGTACATGACATTCTAATTCCCGCTTTCATGCTTTTGCAAAGTCTGTTTGTACTTTATGCCTGAAATACACCTCCATTTCACTTCCACCTCTTTAGAATCCCTAATTTCCTTCAAGACTCTGCTCATATTTGGGGAAGAACATGAGCTTAGTTTGGAGCATGTTGAGTTTAAGGTACTAGTGATACCTGGGTGGAGGTAGTTGGAGGTGTGCTTCTGGAGCTCTTGGAGAAAAGTTAGGACTGAAGATAAATATTTGGGAGTGCCATATATTTGGGAGTAATAGTTGGAGAAAGAATGAGATATTCAAAGGAAAGTATACAATGAGAAGAAAACTTTAATTCATTTTTATAGTGCCTTAAGGTTTGCAAAGTGCTTTCATCACAACAATCCTGTGAGGTAGGTTATATATTAAAGTGGGGTACTTTACACAAGTACTTTGTGTACATTTTACAGATTAGGAAATATTGTGTTCTTTGCACAAAGGAAAATACATCTCAAACCTGCCTAAATGGACACAGCTAACAAGGGTCAGAACTCTGGGACTCAAATATAAGTTTACTGACTCTTGACACTAGTGTTTTGGGGGGACCATACCACCAGGTGCCTTGAGGGAACACTTGCCTTAAAGGGGTGAGTAAGAGAAAGAAAAGACAATGAGAAAGTAATAGGGGTAGGAAGAGAATCAGAGCAGTGGGGTGTTTTATATCTTGGCCAGATGTGTGGGTGAGCTAGAAGGAGTATCCTTGGGGAGAGGGTCATCAACAATGTCAAATGCTCCAGAGAGGTCAAGTGATGACCCCTGGATTTGATGATAGCTGAGGAATTAAGGAGAGCACATGATTAGAAAGTGGCCATGTTAGGCCTCGATCATTTTTTCAAGAAGTTAGCTGTGAAGGAGGAAAAGAAATAAGATGGTAGTTGGATAGCAGCAGGACTGAGGATGAAGAGGAGTCATTCAAGATTCATGAGGGAGGCATGATAATTACTGGGCCAGGGTCCTAGACAGGGGGAAGGGAGTGCTGATGGGATTACAGGTATAGACAGCCTCAGTGAGGAAGAAAGCTGAATTATTCTACTGAGATAAGAAGGAAGGAAAAGAAGATAGATGATAATACTGAGGAGTTTTGAGGGATAACGCTGAAAGATTTCAGAACCCTGATGAATGTCATTATCAATCATTAATTCAGAAGACCGATGGCAAACTATGCCTTCTGACTCTTGGCACAGTGGGGATAGACTGGAAGTATAGAATCAGAAACATATTTTCAGACATGGTCAATGTGTTGATTTGTTTTATTTCACTGAATTTTTTGTGACAAGGAAGAGTTGTGGGTGGAGGGAGGGGAATGTGAATCAGTGGAAAGTTTTGGTGATGTTAAAGAAAGTAACAGTAATGTGAAAAACAGGAATTATTTTTAAATGAATTTTAAGAGAAGAAATAAGTTGAGAGAGTCCTTGTCATTTTCTTAATCTCAGTGAAATAGGTGGGTAAGGTCATTGATGTAAGTGAGAATTAGGAAAGCAGTTGAGGAAAGCTGAAAACTTGAGGAAAAGTTTTGGAATGGCTCTGGGGAATGAAATGGGAAATCAGTAAGTAGGGGAAAGAAGGCTTATTAAGCAGCAGTAAAGAAGACCCAGCTGAAATTTTTAGCAATTCACTTTAAAAAAAAAAAACCTAGGATGTATTGGGGACAGTACACATGTTGCTCATTTTCCTCTATAAGGTAGTGTGTTGAATGCTATTCTTTCTGTTCTCTGCTGTTCTAATCTGTCCCCCTCCCTCCATATTTCTACAGGTACCCATTAATAAAGAATGAACCTTCTATATTATCCCTCCTACTGATATTTACCTATCAGATTTTATTATGCATTTTGCCCTTTATCAGGAACTAATGTTTTACCTCTCCAGTACTAGAGAAAAGTAATGAGCTCTGGTCTTGTCCAACTCTTTAGAGTTTATGCTTTTTTTATTATCTAGCCTTACATTTAGTTCACGGTGTGAATGATGGGTTAGAAGACACTTTAAAAGTTGTTGAACACCTCCAGAATGTCCTTTCCAGTAATGTGAGTCTTTAAAAACAAAATTGATTTATTTTTCTAGCAGGAATTATTGTGTGGTTCGCTCTGAAGGTAGAAGGATGCACCATTCATGTTCCATTTCTTCCGTGTTATTCCATTTTAAATTTAAGGTTTTTGTTACATATGTGGTAATGAAAAGTTAATTCCATGAAGCTCCACCCTTATCTTTGTGCTGGCCCACACCTGTAACAGCTGCTGTTAGTATTCTGGCCACTGCCCCTACATTCACCAGGGAAGCGCATTAACTCCTCAAGTAGCTCTGAACTCTTCTCAAGGGAATCTTTGTTCCCATTGCCTGTGCTGAGTCAGAGAGTCCTTGATACTTGGCTTGGCGGAAATGTTTTCCTGAATTTCCTACTTGGAATAATTCAGAATTATCTTTCTGTTGCAAGAGAGGTAGGTCCCTTCCCATCTAGCACAGAGGTAAGGGCTGAGTCTGTGTACTCCAGAAGGCCTGTGGAAAGGTTGTTGATCCCCCCCTCAGAAGCATATAAGTCCCAGTTGCCCTAGGAGGAAAATGACCCAGGAAAACCAAGGTTCTTTTTGAACAGTTGTCAAGGTAATCAAATTATATTTCCAAATTACCCTTGTCAGAGCTAGAGAAAGGGTCTGGTCTAGTTTAGTAGAAAACACACTGGGGTGAAAATCAGGAGACCTGAGTTCTAGTCCTGACAGTGCTACTAACTGGTTATTGTTTAACCTCTCTGGGCTATAGCTTTCTCAACTACAAAAAGAAGTTTACAGATTTTTAATTTAGAGCTGAAAGGCATCTTAAAAGTTTGTGGAGTCACAGACTAGAGTCACAGGGAACCTTAGAAGGCCGTTGAGTCCAGATCCCTCATTTTATAGATGAGGAAACTGAGGCTAAAAGTGGTTACACAGTTAGTAAATGTCTGAGACAGGCCTTCATGACTCTTAAGTCTAGTGCTCTATCCACTATACCATGCTTCCTTTCAAACATTACAGCCCATGATGTCTTAGTTCCCTGCCAGCTCTAGATTTCACTTGAGTAATGTTAATAGTGAGAATTTCAGAGACTTTTGCATGTCAGTGAGAGAGATTTGGGAGTAGAATATGGTTCTTGAGGTACTTTCTACCTACCAGAGCTGTTCATCAACTTCTTATAACATGATACTAACACAAAGCAATATACATAAAGCCCTTGCAAACTATAAAGCACAATGTAAATATCATTTTTCATTATTGTGGTTTTGTTGCATCTTGAGATGCACATTTGCCTCTGCTGTGTACTGTCATATTTTCATTATTGTTCTGAAATGCTGGTTTAGTTTCTAAAATCCACTGTGTACTGCAAGTCATTTTGACAGGAAAGTAGGAGGGCTTGTTTCTGTTATTAATTATATTAAATATAAAGTATAAATGTAAATATAAAGTATATTAAAATTTATTTTATGTCTTATTTTTCATCAAACCTATTTTTCATAGCCTGCTGGAAGTATCGTTAAGTTCAAAACTTCATACAATCAACCTTCACTGCAATAACATCTCCAAGATTGAAGGCCTTTGTCATCTTTTGAATTTACGGCATTTAGATCTATCATCTAATCAGATAAGTCAGATTGAAGGACTCAATACACTGACAAATTTATGTACTTTAAACTTGGCCTGCAATTTCATCACAAAAGTGGAAGGTAAACAGTTGGTACTTAATTTTATGTACTGTTTCAAATTAGTCTGTTTACATTGATTTGTCTTATGTGAGAAGAATGTGCATTTTATTATTATGATTCATTGAAAATTAACCATAGGGTTTCTTAATAGACAGAATTCTTTTGCAAGGAAAATATCAAGCCTATTGTATTAAATGTTTTTGAAAATTTTCTCAATAATAACGGATTTTAAGAACAGTGACATTGCTTGGTTTTTGGATTAACGTTAAAGTATTTAGATATATAATAAAGTGATTCTTATATTGGCTTTTCATTTCCATTTTTTTTAGGCCTTGAAAAGTTATTGAATCTAACTAGACTTAATTTATCTTATAATCATATACATGATCTTCAAGGTAAGTCGATTCGGAAATAAATGCTATGATGCTAAAAAAAAAATTAAAAATATATCATGAAGTATTTCAGCACTGGGTAGGTCGATGTTAATTTTTTTGTATAAATATATTTAAGTATAGACCAGTACTCTTAATGGAACATACTGGTTTGGCACTTTGTGGACCAAGTTTATGTTTCTTCTTACTGTCATTCAAAAATGAGCAAGCTGGAAGCCAGCAAGAATAGAGTGCTGTAGGTACAGCAAATGGGGATGATTTTTGTTATTTAACTTCAACTGTAGAGAGTAACTTAGTGGGGATGGCTCAATTCCAGCATATTAGGTGTATAAATCAATTTCAATTTGAAACAATTTAAAAAAAACTTTAAAAGGTTAATTCAGAGACTTCTATGTATAGAATAATATAAAAAATTGTACAGTAGTTTGATGTAGTACATAATTCAATTGAAGTTATTTTTTCTTTTCTTGTCTATATACAGTTCTATATTTTTGACTAAATGTTATGCATTGAAGAGATATAGTGATAAATGTAGTAATGAATGGCAAGTAGATATATAAACATAACAAGATTGAAAAACCAAAATAAGAAGAGTATTGAACTCACTTCTCACAGGAACCTAATCAGCTTTGTGCCCCTGGTAGTCACTATTGCAGAAAGGTCTCTTGGAATGCCAAGGGCATAAAACAATTATGCTATATCATTCTAACTTATCCCAGGTCGATTGACCTTCTTGCTTCCCTGAGAATGGGAATGAGTTCCAAACAAGTTTTTGATTCCATTCCTAAATCCTCAAGATTTTAAATATAATTATTATTCTTCTTCTGGTTACATATAACACATGACACCTGCAGTCATACTTCATCTTTCACTTTCGAGTGAAACACATGCAATGACCATGTATTCTTATCACAGATCATTTCCATTGAATATTCATTTCTCAAGTGTTTATTAAGCACCTACTGTGTATGAGACACTGTGCTAAGTGCCACAGGGGATACAAGAGAAGAATAAGATCTGATCCCTGCTAAATACTTTAACAGTTTTCTATAGGGAGATAAAAAATGTATTCAAATAACTATTAATACCAAGTAAAATATGAATTATGTCAAGGGGGACTAAAATAAAATGCTTTAGGGAATTTGGAGATTTGTGGACTAGAACAATCAGGAAAGGTATATTGTAGAGGAGCTGGGTTTGTAGAATCATAGAAAATTAGAGCTATTTCAACAAAATAGACTTTTTAATATCTGCTTCTAATTAGAATGTAGTTATCTGTGGCCTTTTGCAGCTATATTTTCCTGAATATGAATCATTCACTTTTAATGGTGGAAGTAAGCATTTCTTTTTTAGGCTCTTTCAGTTGGCAACCAGAGTTTGGATTCTTGTAGGAAAGTAACTGTACAGCAACCTAAATTTGCTGAATTAATAAATCATCATAGTGAACTTTTAATGGCACCTAGTACTACAAGCAGGACAAAAATTACAATTGCTTAAATATGCTGAATTAATAAAATATAATAGTGAAACTTTTAATGACACCTAATACCCCATTCTATAGTGTAAAAAATCCCTAAAGGATACTAAACAAACTTACTAGTCAAGATAAAAATCCTTGATAAGGATTATTACGTTAGAATTATCACTCAGGATAAACCCCTTTAGAAGAAAGAACTAAAAGCTTCTAGATATAAAGAAAAACAGTTTGAAATAGTACAATCAATCAACAAGCCTCTATTAAGCTTCTACTATTTGCTAGACACTATGCTATGCACTGGGGATACCAAAACAAAAATTATGCAATCCCCCACCATCAAGGAGTATAGATCCTGCTGGTGGAAATAACACGTGCACATGTAAGTAAATACAGATTATACACAAAGCATGTACAAAGCTATATATTCAGGGGAAGGAGGTTGGCCTAGGCAGTTAGGCAGCATGCACATACACTAGCCTATAAGCTTCATGTAGGCAGGGACTCCACCTTTTTTTTTTTATCTCTTAATGTACCTAACATGACTCTATACATACTGTAGGTGGTAAATAGTTTATAAATGAAGGAACGATGCTTCTTACTGGTGTTTAAATTTTATGATTATTAACCATGTTTCTAAGACTACTGTGGATTTTTTCCCAGGAATTTGGACTGAGAATGTGTTTTTTACCTTTAGTCAAGTCTGAAACCAACGCATACTTTTCTATATGTTTGCTGCGCAAAGGTGAACTGAAATGTACCCTCAGTGGATGCCTGTTAATTGATAAATCATGTCTTAAGGGAATGAAAACCAATTATGTTGAGAGAGATAGGGCTGGCAGACTATATTGCAAGTTGATATGTTTAATATTTTGCCTCAAGGAAGGTACCGGCTGACTACTTGTGGGTAGAGCCAGGACATGTTTCCTAAGCCTGGCTACCTCATAAATTGGTACTGAATTTGAACTCTGTGTCATCCTGCTTACTAGCATGCTACAAGAACAAGAACTTAATGGGATAGACAGGCTCTTTTTATACAGTAACAAAAGCCAACCCATCTGTCAAGATGAATAGAACCTATTTAATGCTTATTTTTAATTAAACATAGCAAAAAGTTCTGTTATAACTTGTTTGTATATGTGTATTACAGGCTTTTTATACCTTCGTGGAACTAGGCATAAAATTAGTCACATCGACCTACATAGCAATTATATAAGTAGTATTCATCACTTACTCCAATGCATGGTAGGATTGCATTTCTTGACTAATCTTACTTTGGAGAAAAATGGAAAAAATAATCCAATCTGTGATCAACCAGGTAGGAGCAATTTATTTTAGCACTGTATTAAAGACCCTCAGAGTTTGTTATTTGTTGACTGAAATGTGGGGATTTTTATAGCTGTCATTCCTTTTGGTCTTCAGCCCACAAAACAGAACAAGTAACTTGAGTTGCCCAAAAACTGGAATGTTTGGGCTAAAGGATTACTAAATTTAAGTACTTAAACAGCTTTGCATCTGGAACTTAGAAACTTCTTACTTAAACTTGTGATCTCATCAGTGTGATCTGGGTAGAAAGAATACTGATCTTGGGTTTAGTAGATTTGATTCTACAGCTCTGACATTCTCTAGTTATGTGACCCTGGTTAAGACATTTAAATTGTTGCTTAGTTTCCTCATTTGCAAAATGGAGATAAACAAATGCATATACTTCCTATGGCAGAGGGTAGTTTTGAGAAAAGTCATCTGTAAACTGTTAAGTACTATATAAATGTGAGTTGTTATTGTACCCTCTTTAGTGGTATAGTTTCTAAGTTCCCTTTGCCTTGTTATCCCGTGACATTCTTCATTGTGTCTATAAGTCTTCTAAAAAGTATCCATCCAGTATACTGAAGACTTTCTTCTGCTCCTCTCAGTATCTCATTGGTACCTGTGTAACACATGAGTCATCCGTCTCTCATCCTCACTACATAGCACCTCCTTTTCTAGTCATAAATGTCTTTAGTGATCTTGTTTATGCCCAGGAAATAATTTTGTGTGTTTCTTTTACCCCCAGGACGTCATTGTTATATACTACAGCATTCTTACAACTATTGTGTGTCTTTCCATTGCCCCATGAGTCATTTAAAATTTTATTTTTTAGATTGTGGTATTCTATGACTTGTATTCATAGGGCATCACCAAGAGTATCAGAGACAAATTTTCATGGAATTCAAAAGACAAATGGTATACTTATAAAGCTAGAAAAAATGTTAAAAATCCTCTTGATGGGGAAAAACCCACCAGTGAAATCACAGATCCTTTGAGGAATTATGATCCTAAATGATTCTAACATTAATCAGGCATAAAATTAGTTATACTTACCTGCATAGTAATTATATAAGTAATATTCATCATTTATTTCAATAATTATTGTTAGTGATATTTTCCAGATGTTTTTGTTATAATGTAGAGTACATATCAGCAGGCTAACTGTGACTGATACCACATCAGACTTTTTCTTGTCCACAAAAATAAGAAATAAGTAACATTCTCTATGATTGGCCACCCTAAACAGCTGATAGCTCCCTGTACATGCATATTTAGAGCTTCATGAACACTAAGAGCAAAGGGGTTTAATGCTGCTATTCTTTAAACTTCATTAGTGTCTTGTATATAGTGTTTAATGAATATTTGCTGAATGAATTAAAATGTTTTAAGAAAAATTGTATGGTGTAAGGAGAGGCTTAAGTGGCTTTCTGTAGGGATATATTAATTGTGATATAGAAAATTAGTTTTATCAACTGGAAGATATGCAATATGATATTTTTAGATTATTTTTTAGAAATGTAAAATATTTTTAAATACTAATTTTAATATGAATTTTTTTCAACTTTAGGTTACAGAGGGATCATTCTCCAGACCTTGCCCCAGCTAACAGTCCTAGATGGGATGAATATATTTGGTGAACCGGTAGATATGGTAGAAGGAAATCCATCAGATCTACAATGTTTAGAAAGTCTTTTGGATAATCTAGTTTGTTGTGATTCTCAGCTAAATGAAGAAGAGGTCTAATTTTTTTTCTTTTTATAGAAAAGCTTCGTATTTCTAACTTTTTTAATTGCCAAAATTAAAAAAAAAACCTCATCTATTTTTTTCTGTAGAATTCTGGTAACTTACCAGGAATCACACTCGACATCAATCAGGAAATGTCCCAGGATCAAAAGCCTGCAAGTATACCAGCAGATAACATGTTCCTTCCTTCTGTAGAAGTTGCTTCATCTTCTGAGCCAGAAAGAAATAAGCTTGATGAAAATAATTTGAGCAGTGAGATGAGAATTAAAAAATTAGAAGACCAGATTTCACAGCTCCTTAGTAATGTAATTCATTTCTGCCTTATATTTTTCCCTTAGGGAAAAGAAATTTAGGGAGCTATAAAAGCTGGGAATTATTTGAGAAATGTGTCTATTTAAATGATTTTTGTAACTCTAACACATTTTTTTTCTCTTTAAATATTAACAACACTCACTGAGGAAATAATTATTTTAGGTGGGTGAATTAAGTGGAGTCTAATGGAATCCTGTGTGGTGAACATCCTTGGAGTCTTATCAAGGCTATCTTTGAGATCAGCCCCTCTCACCTCCTCCATTGTCATATGATGAAATCTAGAGAGGAAAAATGACCTGTCCTAAGTAATACCTGATGCAGATAGTCAGCAGCTGGGGATTCCTTTCTTCCTGACATTAGTGAAGAGGCTTTCATGTCCCATCCTTGAGCTTTTGAATCTCAGGACTGCTTCAGAATCTTCATTCGCATTTCCTCAGTGGCTTACTCTGCCCTGTTGGTTTCATTTAAAACTAGCAACAATACTTCTTATTATGTGTGTATATACATGTGTACCTACATATACATGTATGTATGTGTACATGTATGTCTTTACATACACACATATATATATGTAGTTAACCATATGCTTTTAGAGTTAGCTTTATATGATGCTTTGGGGTTAAATAACAAATTCACATTAGACTCTGACACCTACATTTTGCTCAAATAAGTATAATTTATAAAGCCATTTTTACAATTGACTAATAAATATATGCTATCGTGTAATAAATAAGGAGATATACTTTATCTGTTGTACTTCAGATTAAAGATTTTCTTTTTGTCTTAGGAATTCTTTTTTTGAAATTTTAATCAGACACCCATTTGATCAACTTTTATCATTGTAAAAATAGGAACATTTTTACATTTCAAATTTTACTTTACAGAAGATGAAACTTTAAAAATAAACCCCCTTTTTTATTATAGGCATCTAATTCTCCCAAAAGTTGTACTTCTTTGAAAGTTGTCAAATTAAAAAGAGAAACAACTATGACTTCTGAAAGTGATTTTGAAAGTGGAAAAGAAAACCATAAGAAAATGAATAGAAGAACAAGAATCCCTCATTATAGCAAAGCTGTACAGACTTCCAAACACCATAATAAAAGCACACTTTCTGACAGGTACAATAACTTTTTCTTTCCAATTCTTCAAGCTATAGCATGTAACCCAGTACTAAAGTATTTACACACTGTAGCTTTTATTCTGTGGATGATTCAAGCCAAGAGCCAAGAATTTTGTTTGAAAATGTTGAGAATTCAAAATATTAAAGCATGAGAGTTGTTATTTTTATTGCCAAAGTACCTGTTAACTAGGGAGTTTGTCAATTAGACTCTCTAACGTAAATGTCTTATAATGAAAATATTCGAATCTATTATTCTAACCATGAATACTGGGGAGAAAATAGTGCAGACATTCAACATGTTAAATTATTTATGAATTTTCTTTCCCTTCAGTGGCACAGAGCAGAGTTGCACCAAGAAATCAAAAGATCCCTCCACTAAGAATTTATCTTTAAGATCGTCTTCAAGAAGCTCAGATTTAAAGGTGGAAAAATCAACTGGAAATCTAGAATCACAAAATACTCCAACAAATAAAATAGAAAATAAAAGTTTAAGGCCCATAGAAGAATCTACATACAGGGTATGGTTTTAAAACCTGGATTGGAAGGTATGGGGTGGGGTAACTAACTTTTGAGAACTATAAATGCAACTAAAATCCAACAAAACCTTGCTAATTCAGACCTCACTCACTTGGTTTAATAATTGAGACAAAGTCTTCATGGTGGTTATGGAACAAAAGCTTGAAATTGCTTCTGCAAATAAGAGGAAGGGTGATAAAGTAGAAAGAGTGCTAGCGTGGGGGTAAGGAGACCTAGTTCTTAGTGTGGACTGCTTTACTGTATAACTTGGGTAAGTCACTTAAGTCTCTTTGGGCCAGACTTCCTCATCTGTAAAATTAAAGTGGAGTAAATTATCTCTTGGTTCCCTCTAACAGTAAGATTGTTATGTTATCTCAATCTTGTTTGTTTTTTCTTTATGAACTTTTTCAAAGTAAGGTTTCTGGAAATTAAAGATTTTTTTCCATTTTTGAGTCCAGCAATTTTTTAAAATATTAAAATGTAGTACCTTTTTCATCACTACATCCCCAATTTCTCTTCGCATTGGCAGACTGGCTGCAGGGTGACTGACTACTACTCTCAGGACTCCAGGGGTAATCCTGAGAGACAGGATTTCTAGTACTATCATTCATAAGCTTCTATTGGTTTGTTTGCCATTAATGATCAAATTTAGTTTACTTTTTATCAAAGGTATTTAACATGATGGTATATTAAGAACAGTAGTTAAAAAAATGGTTCCCTCCAAAGCATATTCTCCCACAAATGCATATAGGTCCTATTAGGAGAGTGGGCACAAACTTGTACAATAGCAGTGAGGCAACACATGTGGTATAAGGGTAACTCACAACTCCAGGTCACTGGAAGTCCTTTTCTCCTATCATAGAATCCTTAAGAAGTTCCTTTTAGATATCGTTCTCTGCTGGACTCTGAGGGTTGGTCACTTTTTAGAGTCCATAGCTGGAACTTCTTTCTGTCGCAATAGCCTCATGCTCCCTGAAGCCGCATTTCTTTGGGTGACCATTGCTCTGGGTTGGATATGTTATCTCTTCCTGGTGCAGCATCTCTGTTCCCAGCTGGGTGTACTTTCTGCTTCTGCCCAGTCTCTCTGATGACATGGTCATTGGTGGTCAGAGGGGAAGAAGACAGAGTCAGAGATAGAATCTTCCCTCCCCTAAAAAGCTTCTTCCTCTCAGGGACTTACTCTAACTCTCAAACTGGAATACTCCGTACTAGTATTCTTCTAACACTAAACTGGACTATTCTGAACTGGCTTGATATTTTTATATGTAGCCCAATCTTAGCCTTAATCTTATCCACCAATCGTAAGATATTTCTCTGTGACCAAAATCCTCTAAACCATCTCAAATTGATTTAGAACTTACTCGCACTTGATTTACATTTTTGATGGATCAGTTCAATTGATGTGTCTAAGTCTTCTCTAATCAAATCATTTGGGGTGAGGATAGAACCCAACCCTTACGGAAGACATATGTATTTATAATGTACATGTAAAATAGATACATTTTAAGCATTCTTGTCTTACTTTATACTTTGAAATATACTTGTTAAAGAGTTTTGAATGCAATGTACTTTGAAAAAGCATTCTATAATTCACAGGTTTCAAAAAATTTCAGCACTAATGAATTTTTAAAGGTTTATTTACTATGTAGAATTAACATCTCATTAGAATATTCCTATATTATACAAATTTGGCTTTATTTCAGACACTTGTGCAGGAACTGGATGAAGAAAAGGAGAAGAGATGGAAGGCTGAACAAGCTGAGAAGAAACTTGCAGATCATATCAAAGAATTACAGAAACAAGTTAAAGAAGAAAAGGATATTCATACTATGGCCCTGTTTACCACAGATAGGTAAGGAGGAAATCCTCATCGAAAGAGGCTGCAAGGTTGAATGGAAGAAGCTTCCAATTTGGAAAGTGGGTTCAAGGCTTAGCTTGCCTTTCACTAGCATAACTTTGGAACAATGCTTTGCACATAATCAGGACTTACTATTTATTAACTGAAGAGAAGCAAAGGTACAACCTCTTTGAATCTATTCCATCATTTGTAAAATAGATACAAAAAACCTTGCATTCCCCAAAGAGTTGTTTCAAGTTTAAATAAAATAATTTCTTTGAAAGAAGTACTTTTAAAATTGTAAAATAATCAGCAAGCATTTATTTTTTATATTATTTTTCCCCAATTGCATGCTAAAACCATTTTTCAATTTTTTTTAAAGTTTTGAGTTCCAAATTCTATCCATTTCCCCCTCCCGATGCTAAGGAGATATAGGTTATACATATGCAATTATATACAACATTTCCATATTAGTAATTTTGTACAAGAAGACTTGAATAAAAGAAAAAGAATGAAAGAAAGTAAAAAAAATAGCATGCTTCAGTCTATTCAAACAATATCAGTTCTTTCTCTGGAGGCACATAGCATGCTTCATCATGAGTCCTTTGGGATTGTCTGGGATCATTGTATTGCTGTGCAATATTGCTGTTGCTGTATATAATGTTCTTGTTCTGTCCACTTCACTTTGCATCAGTTCATGTAAGTTTTCCAAATTTTTCTGAAATCATCTTTCAGCAAGCATTTATTTAAGAAGCAGTATATAAGTATAAGTTATCTTATTAAGTAATAATAGTCATTCATAAATTATTTCATTCAACTCAGCAAGCATTTATTAAGTGCCTAGGTACCACAGTGTAAACCTATAGGAAAACAAAGACAAAACCATAATTATCCCTGCCCTCAAGGAACTTACATTCTCTTACGAAGGAAAAACATTCACACAGATAGGTCAACACAGAATATAAAAGTGATTTTAGGAGAATGAGAAGAATAGTAACAACTGAGGGGATCAGCAGTACACTTGCATGGGAGGCAGCCCTTGAGGTCAGTGAGCCTTAAAGGGAAGCAAGGGATTCCAAGAGGAAAGGAAGAAAAGCATTTCAGGCATATGGGATAATTGATACAAAGGCATGGAGGCAGAAGCTGGACTGTCTGGTATATTCAGAGAAGAGCAAGTAGTACAGTCTGGCTAGAACTGAGATCACATAGGGGAGAATACTATGAAATCAGTCTGGAAAGGTAGGCTGGAACTAGATTGTAAAAGAATTGAAATGCCCCAAAAAGGAACTTGAAGTTTGTCCTAAAGGCAGTAGCAAGTCTCTGAAACTTCTTGAGTCAACAGAATATAAAATGGTCATTTCTGTGCTCACTCAAAATGAGTTTTTTTTGTTTGCTTTTTAGATATATTGCTAAAATGATTTCCAGTTACACATAATCTTACTCAATGAGTCATCCCTTGTAAGAAATAAAAATAGTTAAGGAAAACCAGCGAATGCAGAAAGCATATTTGATAGCATATACCACATTTTGCTCATACAATTTGAAAGTTTTGTTGAGGATGCATTGGACAGGAAAGAGACTGAATGCAAATAAATCAATTACGAGCCTACTGAATAGTAGTCTAGACGGGTGGTAATTAGGACCTGAACAAGGGTGATAACTGTGTAAGCAGAAAGAAGAGAATGGATGAAGGAGTTGTTGTGAAGGTGGAATCATTAGGTTTGTCAACTGTTTGGATATGGGAGATGATGGAGAATAAAGGGGATGACAAAATAGAGAGATTCTATAATAGGAACAATGGTTCCCTCTACAGAAATAGGGAAGTTAGGAAGATGGATGGATTTAGGGGAGAAAATAATGACTTTGGTTTTGGACATGTCAAGTTTGAGATACCTGTTAGACATCCAGGGGGGAAATGTAGTTGGTGATTCAGGACTCAGATGAGAGATGTGGGCTGAATATGTAGTTTTTTGGAGTCAGCTACAAAAATAATAATTGAATCTACTGAAGTTGAAGAGATCACTAAGAAGATAGAGAGTGAAAAGGAGAGGGCACAGTACATGCATGCATACATGGCAGGACACAAATGATGATCCATCTGTAATGATAAAGGCATTCTGCTGGCACACATAAGTAAGGGGGAAAGGTATCAAACATTGTACTAAAGTACAAGCAGCTCATGCCACACTGGAAAACGTATCAGTGAAAAAAGGCTTGTCCTCCTATGGTCTACATGAGTTTGCTATTTGTTGTATAATTTAAAAGGCTTAAATAGGTTAGCTTTTACTTATTGCTTTTTTTTTCCCCAATAAATGATAATGCTTGTCCTTGAGTCGAGTGAAATGCTGATTTGTATTCTTCTTTGTTTTCTGAAGTTAGAAGCAGATGTAGTTGTGAGTATGTTACTGAGGGGGAATGAAAAATTAAGTTTTTTTGTCAGATAAACAAGGTAGCAAATCAGTGAAAAGGGGAACCAGTAGTCGTTTTTGCTACTTTCATGTCAGTACCTATTTTCTCCTCCGTGCTCCAGTGTAATCTAGTTTTTGCTCTTAAACACTTTTATTTTAACAATTCCCTTAGAAGTCACTAAAGATATGCTGATTCTCACTTCTTCCTTGATCTCACTGAAGCTTTTGAAACTTTTTGTTACCTTTGCCTTTCTTCTTCAAACTCTTCTCCTTTGTTGCCCATGTCATTGCATTCTTCTAATTCTCCTACCTTTCCAACTTTGTACTTCTCTATTCTTTCCTTCATGGACTGTTTTCCTCCTCTTGTCCCCAAAGTGGGAGAATTTTTAGAGCTCTTTCCTTGGACCTTTTTGAACCTTGTTAATAACCATGTGGCCCTGATGTGAATCTTATCATTTCCCTGGTCCTTTGTTTCCTCATCTGTAAAGTGGAGATAATGCATGTGGTTGTCTTAAGGAAAATGCTTTGCAAACCTGAAACTTACTTATTTTAGTAGATCATTATCTTATCGAAGTAAATCATCTACTGATGCAGATTGTAACCTATCTATACCTCATTATCATCTACTGATGAAGATTATAACTTACTGATGCAGATTGTAACCTATCTATGCCTTTTCATCCTATGTAATTCTTAAGAAGTCTGTCTTTCTGTGACTTTTTCATGAAGGATGTAAGCATCACATTGAAGGTATTCATATAGTTCTTTTAAAATTTCATTGGCATTAGTGCAGTATTAGAGTTGTCTATTATCAATGTGTAACACCAATAAGTATTACTGTGGAGGCTAGAATTAGTTGATCAGTACCTTTCTACTTCCCTAGTACAGAGTATATGACTTATTGTGATTTTCATATCCTTAATCCCAGAAGCTAAACTTCCATTAATATAGACCAAGATCAAATTAGTTTTCATGGCTGCCATATCACACTGTTAATTCTTCATCACTGTAATAAACTCACTGTTGATGTGTTTGAAGTCCACTAAAAACTCCAGAATGCTTTCTAACCATTTCCTCCCCCTCCATCTTATACTTGTGAAATCAATTTTTAATCCAAATATAAGAAATATTTCTGTCTAGTCCAGTGCCCAAATAAGCATCTCTTTATTTCACACTTGTCAAGTGGTCATCTAGCCTTTACATGGATACATCTAACGAAGAGGAAAATACTACTGTTTTTGTAAGCTCAAATTGTAAGAAAATTTATTCCACTGCTTTATCTTATAGTGGAGATTATTATGGGTCCTCAGAGACTGTGCTAGTGGTTTGGGGAGGTTGCCAACCTGAGGGATTGAGAGGATGCTGTTGTCCTTGAAAGTAGTAAGGAAGTGGGAGGGCATTATTTAGGGGAAAAAGTAATGAGTTTGATTTTGGACATATTTAGTTTAAGATATCTACTAGACATCCATTTCGAGATGTATAGTTGGAAGTGCACCTAGAGAACAACTTACATGACTGTAATATTATAAAAGAAAACAACTTTGAAAGACTTTAGACTTCTGATTACTATAGTTACTGATCATGATTTCAGAATGCAGCTAGTTCTGCTATAACATGACATATGAGTTCCTAAGAATCACCATGCTATGCATAACCAAAACTACAGAGTTTAAGTCTAACCTTCAAAAACTTTGTCAGTGATAACATAAAAATAGGATATAAACCTTAACAAAAATGATAGCATGTGTTAAATATACATATTAAATGGTTAAGAAATACATAAACATTATAATAGCATCAGTGTCCAAGGCCTTGGGCTATTGCTTACCCTGCTCCCCAGTTCCCACAGGGTGCAGGCTAGCAAAGTCAGTCTCTGTGGGTGAGAGGGCAGCTTTGGTGGACCTGGACAATGATGGATGATAGAGGAGAGTCTGGGGAGGACCAACCTACAGGTCCTACTGCATCAGAAGATATGTAATAAAGATGGCACTTGACCTTGAAAAAGACCAAGTTTCCTTGTGGAAGTGAACGTCAGAAGGGTTATAGCTTGTGAGTTATTATGAAGTGGTGCAGTTTTTCCATTTCCTTGCTGTTTCTCATGGATGGGATTGTACATAAACAAACACAAAATTCAAGTTATGTTCAAGTCATTCCCCAATGTATAAATTGTATTTGAACAGATTTGCATTTTCAAGCCAAGTATTATAGCAGAATTGACTGTACTGATAATGAGTCATGCTTTAAACCTCTTGGGAGAGAGGTAATGGACTAGAAGTGCAGAATGAGGCATATATTTTTAGAAATGACCAAAATGTGATTTGTTTTTGCTTCACTTGCAAGGGAAGATTTGTTTTTTGAGTGGGAAAGGGAGTTGGTGGGTAGTAACTATTATGCAGAATAAAGGAGAAAATTAAAGGGTGTCACTGAAAATTTTTTTAAATACAACAGAAGACAACAGAAGGAAGTTCATGAGGGACAGAGACAAACTGGGCTGTTTTTTGTTTCTATTATGTTAAATTTAACCAGTCTGTTTCATATACATTTTTAGGAGATTTTCTCTCTTTTCTTTGTATAATAAAATATTCATATTTCATATTTGTAAAATTAATTTCCCTCCTAAATAACATAAATTTACCTCTCCTTACTTCATCTCCTTCCATACAGTAGCCATTGAGGAACGACCAAAACATTATGCTTACCATGAATAGTTGATCCTGTTTCATGTTTCGAGTCAGAAGATGATATCCCTTAGGTACTGTAGTATATCCAGATGGAATTTGGGGGCAGTTTATACACAGTGCCATCTTGGCTGTATTGGATAACTAGATAGGTATCTAGTGCTACTTGTCTCTCCTGATAAGCAAAACTACCCAGGCAGCATCCTAGTCTCCATGGTGCCTAGCACCAACATTTGTAACCATGTGGATGATCCACTGTTCCCTCTGTAGGCAGGTTATCAGAGATGCCTTCAGAGTAGGCACAAACTTAGGAAGCTGACTTCATACCTTTCAGAGACTGCTGGGACAACATTGGCATGTATCCACTGATTAATAGCATAGTCTGTGGAGCAAGGTTTTGTCTTAAGCTAAGTTATAAATTTTTATATAAATGGAGAACCTAATATATGCTAGTTTTTGTTTTGTTTCATTTTTTACATTAGGCTAAAGGAATTGATTTTGAAGGAGAGAAATGCTAAAGCAAAGCTCCAAACCATTGTCCAGAAATTTAAGAGTGAAACTGAGAAACTCAGTAATGAACTAAGTCAATCAAGAAATAAAGAAGAGGAGCAAAATAGAGTTATAAGAACTTTGGAACAAACATTGTCAAAAATGGAAAAACAAAAAGCTCAGCAGCAGGTTGCAGAGGTAGCTATTTATTTACTTCAATATTGTTTAAGTTACATGAATTAGCATAAGTTCATAGGTCCAAATCCTAAAGTATACGTTGTTGTTCAGACGTTCAGTTGTGTCCAACTCATTATGACCCCGTGGATCACAGCATGCCAGTACTGTCCACGGGGTTTTCTTGACAAAGATACCAGAGTAGTTTGCCATTTCCTTCTTCAATGGATTAAGGCAAACAAGGGTTAAGTGACTTACCCAGGATCACACAGCTTGCATCTGAGGCCGGATTTGAACTTAAGTCTTCCTGACTCCTGGCCCAGCACTCTATCCACTGAGCCATCTAGCTATACTATAAAGTACATTACACTAAGCTTACAATATTTAATGTTCACAAGAAAGAATTGAAATATATCTTGAAAATACGACCTACAAAAATTAGTTCCATGCTAAGTCTATCGTTGCTTTCTGAAATCAGATATTGTTGCAACACTGGTACATGTTGAAGAAAGGACCAATGAGACACAGTCAATAAGACATTCTGCAGATTGACCCAAATTGGGGAATAGAGGCAATTTTTAAGAATCTCTATCTCTTCATATTCCTTAAATGGGAGTTATTATGTGTGGACAAATGGTTGTTACTACCAAAGTTTCTATAAGAAATTTGATAGTTATGTATCTACATCGTCTGTGAATATAGTATTTTTTTTTATTTTTAGGCAATTGGGGTTAAGTGACTTGCCCAGGGTCACACAGCTAGTAAGTAAATATAGTATTAATTACTTCATTTATGTAAGCCTGATTAAAAATTGCCAAGAGTAGTTGAAATTGTTCTTAATATCTTGAGCAGGCTTGTGAGATTAAACTCGGAGGAGGGCTAATCATTACCAAAATTACCACTGTAATTGCTTTTCTCATTCAGATGAAGCGAGTTCAAGAGGTAGAACTCAAAGCTTCAGCTGCTGAGAGAGAAATACAGCTGCTTAGAGCATCCCTTCATCAACAGAAAGAAAAGGTACAACAACTTCATGAACTTCTGGCAGTGAAAGAACAGGAACATAGGTAAGCAGTAACTAAATGGAAAAGATAAAAAACAGTTTTGAACCAGTAATAGTACTAGCAAGTATCCTAGTTTCTCCAAATGCCTAAAATTGGTCTCTGAGCTGGCTTCGGTAAAGTTCTGAACTCCCCAGCATATAGGGTTAAATGTCTAACATCATGTCATTGAATACACAGTACTAGCTGTAAAGAATGTCTCACATACATACTTTTTTCTGTCCCCATGCAACTTTTGTTGTTCTTTGAGTCCAACCAAAAATTAGATGAGATATATTCTCAGTACTTCAGAAGCAAAGCCAAACCTGAAGTTACAGTGGAGCAGGGCTTGGAGAAATTGCCACAGAGGAAAAATACTTCTCAGTCTTTCAAGTGCTATTAAAGAATGGAGGCATGTAGAGCATGTCTTTCTCAACAATGTTGGGTCTGGGCACCTTGGCCAACTTTTTCTTCAACCGCATACCAAGGTACAACTTTTTTTTGTCTGCCTGATTTTTGTCTTTAGTTGGGGAGGATAGGAACAAATCTTAAATATTCACCTTACTGAATTCCAGCAAGATGAAATATCACAAAAATGTCAAGGTTAATTTTTGGAAGTAGTGTAGGCCACTCAACTTTTACTGGACTTAGGCATGGACATATTTGTATTTCCAGTTTTAAATGCTGGATATCATAAAACATGGTTCTTGGCCTTTTGAGTACAAATGTTATAATTTGTTTTCTTTATTAACACAGAGTCTTCAGTTTCTCTTTCATAATTTTTTCAGTCCAGATATATTCTCCTCCAGATGACCTTTCGTAAAATGGGCATAAAGATAGGATGATTAGCAGAAATGGAAAGAAAAGCTGTTTGAAAAAAAAAAAGGCATGAGCCATGAAAACTAGATGAAAGTAGGAGGGATTGCAAAGAAACTATATAAGTCTTTTCTGGTTTGTTTTTAAATAAGATACTAGGTATTTATATTTGTTATTTATTCCAGGAAGGAACTTGAAACAAGAGTGACTTTGAATGGCTCTGATTTCCAGGATGCTTTGGCAAAAGAAATAGGCAAAGAAGAGAAGAGGCATGAGGAACGAGTGAAAGAATTTCAGGAGAGAATTAATATATTAAACCAGCGGTATTTAGAACTTGAAGATGAATTTCGTATGGCCTTAACTATTGAAGCCAAAAGATTTAAAGAAGTAAGAATGGCAGTCTGTTTCAGTGGAAATATTGACGTATGTTAATGTAGTAATTACACTTTACAACAACCTTATGAAAATGACAATTCAACAATTAGCCTTATTTTACAGAGAAGGTCCTTGAAGTTCACAGATTGATGGGCCTGTTTGGGGCATTGTTTTATTATATTAATAACCTCAGCAATCTGATACTCTTTTTTTTCCTTTTGATTATATTTTTATTTATAAAAGTCCAAGCATTTATTTTCATTTCCTACCCTTAACAAAAAAGAAAGGAAGAAAAACAAAACCCTAGTCAAGAAAACAAATCCCCAAATTGGCCACGTCCATAAATGTATATCCCATTTAGTATTTACCTCTAAGGAGGTAGGCAGAATTCTTCCTCATCAGTAATCTGGCATCATGTTTGATCACTGCATTGATCAGAGTTAAATCTTTCAAAATTATTGGTCAGTAAACATTTATTAAGCAGCTGTTATATGCTAGGCACTGTGTTAAGTACTGGGGTTATATAGAAAGGCAAAAGATAGTCCTTGCTTTTAAGGAGCTCAGAGTTTAGTGGGAGAAACAACATGAAAACTATGCACAAATAAGAAATTGGAGGTTATCAACAGAAATAAGGCACTAGAATTAAAGGAGATTGGCAAAGCCTCCACATAAAAGGTGGATTTATATCTGGGACTTGAAGGAAGGCAGGAGGTAAAGATGAGGAAGAAGAGAATTCCAGGAATGGAAGATAGCCAGTGAAAATGTCTGGAGTAGGAAGAGAGAGTATCTTATGTGAGGAATAAAAAGAAAGCTAGTGTTAGACTGGAAAGGTATTAGGGAGGGGCACTTAGTTATAAAGGATTTTGAATGTCAAACAGGATTTTATATTTGATTCTGGCAGTGATGAAGAGGCACTGAAATTTATTGAATAGGGGGACAGGGGGTTATGTTTTCAGACCTGAACTTTGGGAAGATCACTTTAGCAGCTGAGTAGAGGATGGATGGGAGTGGGAAGAGACCTGAGGCTGGCAGACTAACCAGCAAGCTATTACAGTAGTCCAGCTGTAAGTTGATAAGAGGCTGTAATGGTAGCAATGTCAGACAAAGGAAAAGGGCATAAAAAGAGATATTACAGTGATTAAATTGACAGGCCTTGGCAATAGATTAGATATAGAGAAGTGTTCTTGACACCTAAGCTGTTAGTCTGGGTCACTGGGAGGATGTTGGTACCCTTGACAGTAAGAGGGAAGTTAGGAATGGGGAAGGGCTTTGGGGAAAAGATATTGAGTTCAGTGTGGGTCATATAGAGTTTGAGATATCTACTGGACATCCAGTTTGAGATGTCTAATAGACATTTGGAGATGCAAGACTCAGCAGAGAGGGTAGGGTTGGACAAGTAGATTTGAAAATCATCAGCATAGAGAAGGTAATTGAATTTATGGAAGTTGATGAGATCACCAAGTAAAACATACAGAGGAAGAAGAGGGGAGAAGCTTGGACAGGACTTTGTGGGATACCCACTGTTTGTGAGCTCATTTTTTTTTGTTCATTTTAATGTCATTGTTACTGTAGAATTTTACTTCCAATTCTTTTCACTTTCTACATTAGTTCATGTAAACCTTCCCAGGTCTCTCTGAAACAATCTCTATTTTTATTTATTTATTTTTTTTGGTGAGGCAGTTGGGGTTAAGTGACTTGCCCAGAGTCACAACAGCTAGTGAGTGTTTTATGTTTGAGGCCGAATTTAAAATCAGGTCCTCCTGACTCCAGGGCCAGTGTTCTATCTATTGCACCACCTAGCTGCCCCTCTTGTTATTTCTTATAACACCATATGTTAGGTATATTCTTTTACCAGGTGCCTCTCAATATGTGTATATTGCATATGTAATGTGTAATACGGTATCATTTGTCTTCATGATTGATTTCTTATTTCATAATGGGGAATATCCTTCACAAAATCCTACTCTGATGCTTCATTTTGATATGGAAATGACACTGGGTTTTTCAACGCTGTGTCAAAGAAGCACATTTAATGAATTAAGAGACTTATTGCAGGCTCTACCGTATTGGAAAGGCAGTATGGTCCTAGTAACAGATTAAGACTACTTTGCAAAGACCAACACAATTACGTATGGAGAGGCTTGGCACCAATAGGAATTTTTTTGTCCATAGCAATCCTTAAGGCAAGTTCTTCTTACTGGATTCTTTTATTCTAAAAAGTTCCAGTGTTTTTCAAAAGGTCTTTTATGTAATGCTGACACTTTTTTCAGTTGATTATAGGACAAGTACTTTGTCTTACATAGCCCTGTCCTTATCACTTCAACCATCCAGATGAGAATTAGATTATCAATAATAACATTTATATCATTCTTAAGATGTATAAAAACACTTTATATACATGATCTCATGAGCCACACAACTCTGAGAGGTATGATTATCCCCATTTCACAGATGAAGAAACCCCCAAGGCTCAGTGACTTGGTTATGATTACTGTTAGAAATGTCTAAAATTGGATTTGAGCCCAGATCTCTCTTCATTCCAAGTCCTATGGAGTTTCCATTAGCCACACTGCCTCTAGTCCTATCTCCTTTGTTTTCACGTATTTGTGAGTGCTGTGGTTTTACTGTCTTCGTACTTTTTTAGGTAGACTAGTTCCTCAATTGCTTTCTAGTCTCAGTAGTTCTCAGCTACTTTGACTGTCAGTTGTCTGGGTGACATGATCTAGTTCATCATTATGCCTTTCATACAGACTACTTAATCACTAGTGCAGTAACAATAATAGTTTACCAATACAACAAACATTGGTTTATTATTTGTATTACTATATCAATCATTTCTCATTTAGTCATTTTAAAATTATTTTGTAAATCCTTATTTGTAATGCATTTTTGCTTTGATTTTGAAATATAGGTTAAGGATGGCTTTGAAAATATTTCAGCTGAATTGGCAAAGAAAAATCATGCCCTGGCCCGGGCTCAACAAAAAGAAAATGAATCATCTGCTTTAATTCAAGATCTGACCTCAATGGTAAAAGAACAGAAAGCAAGAATTGCAGAAGTTTCCAAGTCAAAATTGGAAACAACAACAAATTTAAAGGTAAGATTGTGACATTTTCTTTCTTTTTTCATACAGGATTAGGGAAAATTTTAGAAACAACATCAAATTTAAAGGTAAGACTGTAATATTTTCTTCCTGCCCTTGTACAGGTTTGGAGAAACATCATTTTAAAAATGAGTTTTCATATGATTTTTTAAAAATCTGAATTTCTTCTCCCCTCAACTTAATAATTTACATTTAAAAGTTTCCTTTATTGCTTTTGCCTACATTTCAAAATAACATATACTAAGGATTTGATGGTGTTTTTCCTCCCAGGTGATACTTGAAATGAAATAGAAATTCATTCATATACCTACTTGGTAAAAAATTACTTACTGATTTTTATAGGTGAATTTGTTCTTTTAGGGTACTAAAGTAAAAGGTGTCCTAAAGAAATAGCTATTTAGCCAACATTTATGACAACCTTCAAAGACTATACTTAGTTTAAAAATTGAATTTTTTTTAAGTTGTGAGAAACTTTTTAAAATGTTTCCTTTGTGTTGTTTTCAATATTTTATGCACAAACAAAATCAATGCAGCTAAGAGTAGAATGGAAGCAGTTAACAGCGAGGGAGTGGAAACAGTTAATAATCATTGCAGTATGTTTCTCTAATAGGTCTCATATTTGAGATATATAAGAAACTAATTAAAATTCATGAGAATAAGAACCATTTCTCAATTGATAAATAGTCAAAGGATATGCATAGGTGCTTCCCAAGGGAAAAAATCTTGCCATCAGGGACCATATGAAAAAAATATTTCAGATCACTAATAGAGAAATGCAGATTTAAAGCAACACTGAGGTTAGACCTCACGCTCATTAGATTAGCAAAATTGACGAAAAAAGGAAAATGATAAATATTGGACAGGCTGTGGGAAAACAGGAATATTAATGTGCTGTTGGTAGAGCTGTGAATTAGTCTAACTATTCTGGAAAGCAGTTTGAAACTATACTCTAAAAGTTACTATACTGTGCATACCCTTTGACCCAGTGATACCATTAATTCGGCAATTATCACAAAAAAAGATTAAAGAAAGAGGAAAGGACCCATATGTACAAAATATTTATAATATCTCTTTTTGTGGTGGCAAAGAACTGGAAACTAAGGGATGCCCATCATTTGGGGAATGACTGAACAATTGTTATGTGAATGTACTAGAATATCGTGTCATTAGAAATGCTGGTTTCAAGAGAAACCTGGGAAGACCAGTATCAGCTGATGCAGAGTGAAGTAGAACCAGGAGAACAGCATATACAATTTTAAAAACATCGTAAAGACAAAACAACTTTGAAACACTTAAGATCTCTAAGTAACACAATGAAAACCATGATTCCAGAGTACCAATAGTGATGATGACAAACAACCCACTTCCTGACAGAGAAAAGATGAACTCAGGATGCAGAATGAGACCTATATTTTAGACATTACCAATGTGGAAATTGATTTTTCTTGATTATGCTTGTTTGTTATAAGGATTTTTGCTTTTCTTTCGTGGAAGGAAGAGAAGATGGTGGGAAGAGGAAAGTGAATGTCTGTTAATTGAAAAAAATTAATTAAAATGTTTTATGTATACAGAATCGAATCCATACCCTTGAAGCCATGATTGAGGAGGACAAGCAGAAGAGTGTTCAAATAGAACTTCTCAAGAAGGAAAAATCACAGCTTATTTCTCAACTAACAGCCCAGGAATCAATGATTGATGGTTTAAGAGCAGAAAGAAAAATATGGGGACAGGAGCTGGCACAAAAGGGTAAAAATTCATTTTCTGAAAGGAAAAATAGCAAGATTATGTTTTTTTAGTTCTAAATCAAAGGAGAAAATTCATTTTCTTGCCAATTAAAAAACTAGTCAGTGATATCCTTTAATGTTGCTCAAAATATTTATTGTAATAACTGAATGATTAAGCCAGAAAACTAGAATTTTTGGTTTTATTGGCATAAGTTATGTGTTACAGGATCTAAAAAGTAGGAACCTTGATTGAGTTATCAGAATTACAAAATTTCCCTCTCTGTTCGTTATCTCCTATCCTTCTACCTTTGCCACTGTCTCGGTTCTCCTGAATTTCTGTTATTTGTAGAACACAGCCTATTTTGTAACAGATTTATAGAACATATTCTGTTCTAATTGCATCCTCCCAGTCTTTGATGTCTCCCTCTTCTCAGTTCATCATTCCTGTTATGGCTTCACTTCATTCATTCACTCAACAAGCATTTATTAAAACTGTTGTGTACCAGGCACTCACCTAGGCACAGGGGATGCAAGAAATGAAAGTGAAAACAGTCTTAATGCTTTTAAGAGCTTATTACATTCTAGTTTGAAACTTTGACTCTGTAGTTAACCATTTCAACATGTGATGTCCTTCAAGCCAGAAAGACAAAAAGTACGCATACTGTATTTTCAGGCAATGCAATGCAATCAGAATTATATAATATATAAAATGAGTAAAAGCCACAGAAACTAAAACTGTAGTTTTATAACAAATCATGAAATGACATTGAAACTGAAAAGTTAACTTATTAAACAATAATTAGCTTAAAAAAGAAATTAGAAAAACAGTAAAAGCATAGCTGACAACAGTAGTATCATACATATTAAAATATGTAATATGTATCCAAAGCAATTTTTAGAGGTCAGTTTATACCTTATGCCTTTTATAAATGAGAAAACAAGAAAATAAATAAATTCAGTTTGTACCTAAAGGAATTGGGGGGAAGCTGTAGTCTAAAAGAAAGAGTTTTTTTTTTAAGGTTGAGTACAAATAGATGGAAAAGTGTTTTTTTTTAAAATTGAATTGATAAATTCATAAATTGGTTCTTTGCAAAGCACAGTCACATTGGCAGGCCATTAGCAAATAGTCACAAAAGGGGAAGGACAAACATGAATTAACAAAATTACAAATGAAAAAGGAGAAAATACATAACAAATTGTGAATGGTATTAGGAAATAGTACACACAATTATAGTCATAACAATTTAGAGGACTAAAGGAGACTAAAGTTTATCAACAAAAATACAAATGATCAAAACTGAAAGAACAGTAAATAAATATTTTAAATGGACCATTCTCAAAGAAAGAAACAAGACAGGTCAACCAAAGAATTACCATTCCTAAATAAATAAATAAATGAATAAATGAATAAATGAATAAAATAAAAACCCTGCTCAAATGGATTCACAGGTGAATTAGTTCATACCTTCTAAAAACAAATAATCCCTTATATTCTTAAACATAGATGAAAAAGGAAATACAGCAAAATACTTTTTGTAAGGCAAATACAGTATTGATTTTAAAACTTGATAAATATAACGCCCAGTTTCCCTAATGAATATAGATACAAAAATATTAAATATTAGTAAAATCAACAATTATTTATTGTTTCCTATGTGCCAGGTACTGTGCTAAACCCTGAGGATACAAATATAGGCAGATAGAAAGATAGCCCCTCCCCTCAAGGAGCTTACATTTTAATAGGGGGAGATAATATGTAAAAATAAACTGAATGGTGGGAGTTTTAAGGGAAGGTAACCTTGAGGGGTCATGGTAGAGGCCAGGAATGAATGAAGATGTGGCTGGCCTGGGTGTTTTTCTTAAAATTGAAGTTCTGGGAAGAGCTAGCCAATCATCAGAAAAGAAGGAATGACTTTCCAGGTTAAAGAGATTGCCATGGTATGGTAGAGAAAATCTAGAGACTAAGGAGTGGAGCCTAGAGTATCTAAGAGAGTATAGTTATTCATTAACAAATAAGTCATCATAACCAAACAAGCTTTAAGAGTAGGCATGGAAGACTGGTTCAACATTAGAAAAAACTATTCCTCCAAGATAACATATAAACAATAAAATCAGTAGATGCAAAGAAAGGCCTTTAACAAAATCCAGAATTCATTTACTCATGATAAAAACATTACAAAGAATAAGAATAGCCAGGGATACCTGTAATCCCTGTCTCAAGGGAGGTTGAGGATGAAACTAGTAGATTGCTTGAATTTGGGAGTTATGAGCCAGCATAACTGTTGATGTTCACCCTAACTGTAGCACCAATATGGTTATTTCTTGGGCAAGAGCTGCTGAAGGAAGGCTGGATCAGTCAAGTTGGAAACAAAGCAAGTCTTTATTCTTATACATATTAGTAGGATCTGTCCTGTAAGTTAATGCTGAACTTTCAGCTTGGGTGAGATAGGGAGACAGTCTTAAAATATAATAAATAAAATAAAGTCTAAGAATGGAGAAATTTTTCCTAAATACAGTGGAAAATATCTGTTAGTCTTTGTCCACTCTATTGATACCAGTCACCCTTTAGCCCTGTTAAATCTGTATGTTCCAAAATTCTGTCTTCAGTCTTCTTTTAATATCTTTCTACATGGTAATCTTATCTACTTCCGTGCCTTTAATTATTACCATTATGGTAATGACTTCTAAATCTCCATATCTATCACCAGTCTTTCCATGAGCTCCAAGTCCTGCATTTTCAGCTGTTTTCTAGACATCTTTCAACTCAACGTGACCAAAACTCAATTCATTGTCTCCCCAATATTCCCCCTTTCCAACTTCCCAGTTTCTGTTAATGGTACAACATACTCCCAGACTCTAGAAAAATGTAAGGGCTCAAAAATCTGAGGAGTCATTTTTAATTCTTTTTTTTAATTTAATAAATTTAATAGTTTTCAACATTCACTTCCATAAGATTTTGAGTTCCAAATCTTCTCCCCATCCCTCCCCTCAACCCACTCCAAAACAACATGTAAATTGATATAGGCTCAACATATACATCTATATTAAACCTATTTTCACATTAGTCATCTTGTAAAGAAGAATTAGAACCAATGAGAGAAACTATGAGAAAGAAGAAACAAAAAAAAGATAGAAAGCAAATAATATGCTTCGATTGTATTCAGACTCCATAGTTCTTTTTCTGGATGCAGACAGCATTTTCCATCATGAGTCTTTTGGAGATGTCTTAGATCCTTGCATTACTAAGAAGAGATAAGTCTATCAAAGTTAGTCATCACACAATGTGCCTGTTAATGTGTACAACGTTCTCCTGGTTCTGCTCACTTCACTCAGCATCAGTCGATATAAGTCTTTCCAGGTTTTTCTGAAGTCTGCTTGCTCATAATTTCTTATAGCACAATAGTATTCCGTTGCATTCATATACCACAACTTGTCCAGCCATTCCCGAACTGATGGGCATCCCCTCAGTTTCCAATTCTTTGCCACCACAAAAAGAGCTGCTATAAATATTTTTGTACATGTGAGTCCTTTTCCCATGGGTATGATCTTTTTGGAATACAGACCCACAAGTGGTCAAAAGATATGCACAGTTTTATAGCCCTTTGAGCATAGTTCCAGATTGCTCTCCAGAATGGTTGGATCAGGTCACAACTCTACCAACAATGCATTAGTGTTCCAGTTTTCCCACTCTCCTCCAGCATTTATCATTTTCTTCTTTTCTCATGTTAGCCAATCTGATATGTATGATGTGGTACCATCTTTAATTCTTCTCTCACCACATTAGTTATCAAGACTTTATGATTCTCTTTCTTCAGTATCTTATCTTTTTCCTTCATTTCTGCTAATACCAATGGAAACAGCACTGAACTTAGAACACTTAACACTCCTAGTGGCTACATTGTATGCCCATATGGCAAGGTACTACACTTTTAAACCTAGTTGTTTTTTTTTTTAATGCACCAATATATTTTGTTTTGGCATAAATGGTGCTTCCTACAAACAACCAAACCAATCCCAATAAACAGTTTATTATGAGTAAGAGAGAAGTGTCTTTTAACTCAAGACAGTACAGTAATGACATTGACCATTGTATTTAACCAAAGTTTTGTTATCTCTCCATATTGACTGTATATACATTGTAGTAGTACTTGTGTGTGTTGTTTTGCCTTATGCTTTCTATGACTTCATACAGGTCTTCCTCTTAAGCCCAGTGTCTTAATCCTTAAATAATAGGTGTACTAACGACCTTATAACTTGTGAAGATAGCACTTTATAATCTGTAAGACGATATATTAAATGTGAATTATGTTGCTGTTGTAGTTCAGGCCCTCATTTCCTCATACTTAATTATTGTAATAGCCTTTTCATTAGTTTCCTTGCCTACTTTTCCTCTCCAATCCACCCTTCACAGAGCTGCCAAAATAATTTTCTTTATATCTAGTGTGACTATAGCTCAACAACCAGCATTGGTTCCTTGTTGCATAGATGATAAATACAAACTCCCTTTCGTGACATTTAAGGCATTTCATATTTACCTTTCAAGACTTATTTCATAGTACTCCTTTTTGTTCAGCTTCCACTCCAGCAGACAGCTAGACAATTAGTTATTCCCACATTTCACCTTCTCATACCTTTCTATTTTTACTTTTGTATGTTCTACATCTGGAACACACTTCTTTATCTCCATGTATTGAAATCCTTTTTTCTCTCAAGGTCTAGCTTAATTGTCATGTCCTCCATAACATCTTTCCGGTTTACCCCAGCCGAAAGTAATTTTTCCTTTCTTAAATTTTCCTAGAGAACTTTGTCTAGAGCTCTCATGTGTATCCATAATGTTCTACCTTGTATTATACTAATTTGTCTGCATGTCATAATTTCCTTTAATTGTAATCTCCATGAGGAAAGTAACTATGACAGATTTTATCTTTGTATTCCTAGTGCCTAGCATATCTCTTGCATATTTTAACTTTTTAATTGAATTTTGTATTTCCTTGTCAGATTGATCACCTCTCTAGAATAATGACTTTGTTTCAGGAAATGTTTAATATTGAAATTAAGCAAGGAGTTGGGAAGAATCCTTTATTATATGGTATTTTTGTGTCCATGGTCAGAATCATGCAACTTTTGTCACATATTACATACAAAAACATAATAGTAGTAATAACCAGTAATGAAAAGACTGCCTTTTATTAAAAGATTACTTCATTTTCCTTCTCCTTTCTGTTACCAAAAGTAGTAAAAAAAAATGCATCATCACAATGTCGGGATAATAGATTTATAGCATAAATGGATTTCAGAGGTGATCTAGTCCAACACTCTCAATTTGCAGATGTGACCATCATTTTGGGAATAAGTGAACAATTATGCATATGACTGTAATGGCATACTTTGTGTCAAAGAAATAATAAAAGGGATCATTTGAGAGAACTTAAGATGCAGAATAAGTCATCTGTTTTTAGATGTGGCCAGTGTGGGAATTTTTTTGCTTAACTATGCATATATGTTACAGGGGCTTATTTTTGTTTTTCTTTTTTTTTAATGATGGGAAGGGGAAAGAAAATAAATACCTGTTCATTGAAAAATTAATATTTAAAGCCATTTAAAGACTACAGAAAGAAAATAAGCAAATTCCAGCTCAAATGCTACTTTCTACTTGAGAGCACTTCTGATTCCTGTAGTTGCTAGTATCCTCTCCTCAAATTTTTTTTATATTTACTTATATTTTCACTCAACAAAATATAAGCTCCTAAAGTCAGGAACTTTTTTATTTTTGTTATTGTATTCCCAGCACCTAGCACAATGCCTGACATTTAGTTGGTGCTTAATAAATGCTTCTTGATTGATTAATAACTGAAAGTATAGTACAATGCCGTTCAATTGTCAGTTGAATTTATTATGTAAATTTTAAAAGTCATATTGATTGTTTTGCATATTCCAGTCTAGCAGTTCCTAAATATCTGAAGTTTATCACACTATACATTCACTCAAATTTGGAGGTTTTAAAAACAGCACTGTAAGTAATTCAAGGAAAAACATTTTGGATTTTTTTTTGTTTTCACAATGAAAGTATAATAATTTTCTTAATTTGGAGCTATTTCTTTTTAAAAAATAATTTTCTACAATTTAAAAAAATTTGTTTGAAAAATATTGATGTGTTACATTTTAATAATGTTTACATTTTTTTATTTAGGAGCATCTCTAGCCCAAGATTATGGAAAATTGGAGGCAAAAATTGAAGTTTTAACTACAGAGAATGAATCTCTTCGGAAGCTAAGTGAACGTGACAGTGATTCATTAAAAATTAAGGTCAAAATTATAGAAGACCAAACTGAAACTATTAGAAAATTGAAAGAAGTGAGTTTGACATCATATTTGATATTAAGGACTTTTTTTTTTCTTAAGGAAGAGATTGAGATAGTAGATTTGGCAAATATTTTAATAGAGGCTGTGAGTTAGACACAGAATTTTAGTATCTAGAAGTAATTTTAGAATTTTGTTACATTTTTGTGACAGATTACATGTCAACATCACATTTTGTTTATTCTTTGTTTAGCTACCAATTCTATATTTTCTTATTTTTATCTTTCTAAAGTTAACTTTTCATGACCCACAGGAGAGCTAATCAGTTCTTTTTTCCTACCATTTGTGAAGTAGCCCTTTGTAAACAGTAAGCTCTTTTTCCTTTTTAAACAAACCATTTTTGATATGGCTTTTTTGTGTATCTTTTTGTAATTCAGTGTTCCAACTCCATCCCCTTGCCCTTGATTTTAAATATATAGAATTAATTTAAACAATATGTTGAAATTAATTCAGGTAAGATCTTCCTTATAGAAATTATTAGATACAGCTTTTCTAGGCCCTAACCCTCAAATATTCTCTTTCCTTCCATTTCTACCCCTCCCACTCATCTAATTAATTTTGATACTACTTTTTTTTCCAGAGTAAATAACAATTAGAATTTTTAAACCAACCTAACCATAAACTAGGTGCTGGGGTGGATTCATAATAAATTGTCTGCATTGTTTATCAATCCTTCTTGCCTCTTCTGATATGGACTCTTCCTCAGCGTGACCCCAGAGGCTTTAAAGTTCAATTGATCATTTTTTAAATATATTTTTATTTATTTCATTAAATGTTTCCCAATTAAATATAAAAAAAATTAATATTCATTTAAAAATTTTTTTGAGTTACAAATTCTCTATCTCTACCTGTCCTCCCCCACTCCTTGAGAAGGCAAGCAATATGATATAGATTATATATGTGAAGTTATGCAAAGCATTTCCATATTAGCCATGTTGCAGAACACACACACACACACACACACACACTCACACACACACGAAAAATAAAGTAGAAAAGGCTGCTTCACTCTGCACTCAAAGTTCATCAGTTCCTTCTCTGGAGGTAGATAGCAATTTTTCATCATGGATTTTTTGAAATCAACTTAGATAATGTATTGCTCAGAGTAGCTAAGTCTTTCACAGTTGATCATCATAAAAATATTACTGTTACTTTTACAATGATCTCCTGGTTCTGCTTACTTCACTTTACATCAGTTGATATAAGTCTTCCCAGGTTTTTCTGAAACCATTCTTCTCATCATTTCTTATAGCACAATAGTTTTCCATCACAATCATATAGCACGACTTGTTCACCCATTCCCCAATTGATGGGCATCCCCTCAGTTTCTAATTCTTTGCCACCACTGAAAGAAGTGCCGTAATTATTTTTGTACAAATACTGTAGGTCCTTTTCCCTTTTCTTTGATCTCTTGAGATACAGACCTAGAAATTGGGTCAAATGGCATGCACAATTTTATAGCCCTTTGGGCTTAGTTCCAAATTGTTCTCCACAATGATTGAACTGGTTCACATTTCCACCAGCAGTGCGTTAGTGTCCCAGTTTTTCCACATACTCTCTAGCATTTGTTATTTTCCTTTTCTATCATGTTAGCTCCAATCTGTCACTTTAGGTGTGAAGTGGTATCACAGAGTTGTTTTAATTTGCATTTCTCTAATCAATAGTGATTTTGAGCATGTTTTCATGTGTCTTTTGATAACCTTTATTTCTTCTTCTGAAAACTGCTTGTTCATATCCTTTGACCATTTATCAATTGGAGAATGGCTTGTATTATTTTATTAATTTGGCTGTGTTCTCCATATATTTGAGAAGTAAGGGCTTTATCAGAGAAACTTGCTGTAAATTTTTTCCCCAATTTCCTGTTTTCCTACTAATTTTAGCTACATTCGTTTTATTTGTGCAAAACCTTTTTAATTTCATATAATCAAAATTATCCATTTTACTTCCCATAATCTTCTCTATCTCTTGTTTGGTCATAAACTCTTCCCTTATCCATAAATCTGACAGGTACATTTTTCCAGGCACCCTCAATTTACTTATGATTTCACCCTTTATGTCTAAATCATTTATCCATTTTTACCTTATCTTGGCATATGGTATGAGATGTTGGTCTATGCCTAGTTTCTTTCAAATTGCTTTCAAGTTTTCCTAGCAGTTTTTGTCAATTGGTGAGTCCTTGCCCCTAAACCTTAGATTTTCGGGTTTATCAAACATTAGATTATTATGGTCATTTACTACTGTGTATTTCTATATTTAATCTATTCCACTTATCTACCACTCTATTTCTTAGCCAGTATCAGATTGTTTTCATGACTATTGCTTTGTAATATAGTTTGAAATCTGGTACTCCTATGCCACCTTGCTTCATTTTCATTGATTCCCTTGATGTTCTTGACCATTTGTTCTTCCAGATGAATTTTTTTTTCTAGCTCTATACATTAATGATTTGGTACTCTGATTGTGTGGCACTGAATAAGTAAATTGACTTAGGAAGAACTATAATTTTTATTATATTAGCTCGGCTTTCACTTGAGCAACTAATAGTTCTCCAACTGTTTAGATCCATCTTTATTTGTGTGAAAAATGTTTTGTAACTGTGTTCATATAGTCCCTGAGTTTGTCTTGATTAATAGATTCCCATGGATTTTATATTATCTACAGTTATTTTAAATGGAATTTCTCTATCTCTTCCTGTTGGTTTTTTTTTGGGTAGTATATAGAAATGCTGATAATTTATGTGGATTTATACCCTGCAACTTTGCTAAAATTGTTAATTGTTTCAACCAGTTTTTTCTTTTAGTTTCTTAGTTTTGTTTAGTTTGTTTTTTTTTTAGTTGAGTCTCTAGGGTTCTCATGTCATCTGCAAAGAGTGATAGTTTTGTTTCCTCATTGCCTGTTTTTATTTCTCCAATTTCTTTTATCTAGTCTTATTGCTATATCTAGCATTTCTTATACAATATTGAATGATAGTGGTGGTAGTGAAAATCCATGCTTCATCTCTGATCTCTATAATGGGGAAGGTGTCCCCATTATAGATGATGTTTGCTATTGGTTTTAGATAGATACTACTTATCATTTTGAGAAAGGCTTAATGGGCATTGTATTTTGTGAAAGACTTTTTCTGCATTTGTTGATATGATCATAAGATTTTTATTGTTTTTGTTATTGATATAGTCAGTTATGCTTTTAGTTTTCGTGATACTGAACCATCTATGTATTGCTAAAAATTCTATCTGGCTATTCTGCATGATCTTTGTGATATATTGTTTTAATCTCCTTGCTAGTATTATTTAATTTAAAATTTTTATATTGCTATTTATTAAGGAAATTGGTCTATAGTTTTCTTTCTCTGTTTTTGCTTTCCCTGGTTTAGGAATACAAACCATATTTGTGTCATAAAAGGAATTTCTTAGGATTCCTTTACCTGTTTTTTCAGATAGTTTATTGTAGTATGTAGATCAGTTGTTCCTTAAATGTTAGGTAGAATTCATTTGTAAATCCATCTGGTTCTGGTGATTTTTTTCTTAAGTTGTTCATTGATGGCTTGTTCAATTTGTTTTTCTAAAATGAGGTTATTCAGGTATTTAATTCTCTTCTGTTAATCTAGGTAGTTTATGTATTTGTAAATATTCATCCATTTCATTTAGATTATCACTTTTGCTGGCATGGTATTAGTCAAAATGACTCAATAATTGCTTTAAATTCATCATCATTGGTGGTACCTTCACCTTTTCCAGTTTTGATAATGTTAATTTGATTTCTTTTTTAAATCAAATTAACCAATAATTTGTCTGTTTTACCATTTTCCTTCTATAAAGCCAGCTTCTAGTTTTATTAGTTCAGTAGTTTTTTGTTTGTTTTTTACTTTCAATTTTATTAATCTCTCCTTTGATTTTCAGGATTTCCTTGTTAGGGTTTAATTGGGCATTTTTAGTTTGTTCTTTCTTTGGTGTTTTTAGTTGCACACCCAATTCATTGATCATTTTTTTCTTTTATTGATGTATATGTCTACAGATAAAAAATTTTCCCCATAAGTACTGGTTTGGCTGCATCCCACATATTTTCATACGTTTTCTCATTGTCATTCTCTTTAATGAAATTATTGTTTCTATGATTTGTTCTTTGGCTCACTCATTTTTTAGGGTTAGGTTATTTAGTTTTCAGTTAACTTTTAATCTATCTTTCCATAGCCTTTTATTGATAATGTAATTTTTTATTGCATTATGATCTGAAAAGGATGCATTTAATATTTCTGCTTTTCTGCGTTTGGTTGTGAGGTTTTTATGTCCTAAGATATGGTAAGTTTTTGTGTAGGTACCATGTACTGCTGAGAAAAAGGTATATTCCTTTCTGTTGTCTCCACATCTAACATTTCTAAAATTCTATTCACCTCCTTAACTTCATTTTGGTTATTTTTTGGTTATATTTATCTAGTTATGAGAGGAGAAAATTGAGGTCCCCCACTAGTATAGTTTTACTGTCTGTTTCTTTCTGTAATTCATTTAACTTCTTTAAAATTTTTGATACTATGTTATTTGGTGCATATATATTTAGTATTGATATTACTTTGGTGCCTTTTAGCAAGATGTAGTTTCCTTCCTCATCTATTTTAATTAGTTCTATTTTTGCTTTTGCTTTGTCGGAGATAATGATTCCTGTCCCCCTGCTTTTTTTTTTTTAACTTAATCTGAAACATAATAGATTCTACTCCAGCTCTTTACTTTACTCTGGCTGTCTCCTTCAAATGTGTTTCATGTAAACAACATATTGTAAGATTCTGGTTTCTACTGCACTCTGCTATCCATTCTGTTGTATGGGTGAGTTCGTCACATTCACATTCGCAGTTATGATTACTAAGGGTGTATTTACCTCCATCCTATTTTCCCTTGCTTATCCTTCTCTCTCTCTCTCTCTCTCTCTGTCTTTTTCCTTTCACCCTCTCTCTCTCTGTCTCTCTCCCTTCCTCCCTCTCTCTCCTCATAAGTGTTTTGCTT